AAAACTTTTCATGATGAGAGTGGTTAAGAACAAGAGAGGTTGCGAAATTTCCATCCTTGAAGACTTTTAAAGGTTGACTGGTTAAAACTCAGAGCAACCTGGTCTAACTTTGAAGCTGGTGCTGCTCTAAGCAGGAGACTGGATTAAGTGACCTGGAGAGGTTTCTTCCACATGAATTAGTCTGTCATTTTATAGGTCTAAGTTATCTTATATTTGCAGATATTTGAGGTGGGTAGGAGAAAATGTGTTCTGAAACATCTGGTTTCCCTTAAAACTTCTGGCAGAAAACAATCTGACTACATATTTTTCTTTAGTTTACATTTTAAAAGCTACAATACATTGTTATTTGTATCATATTTAATAATTTCAATTTTACATAAGGAAAGGAAGTAATCTCATTTGAATGCAAATAGCAACTTTCTTTTTAAAGAAAAGTAGCTTGCAACTCAGATCTGTAGAATGAATGCTAAAATCATGAGGAACTGCACTTTTAACTGCACATGGTGAGCTATGTACACATTATCGCCACTGCACTTAGGGTTCTTAGGTGCCACGGTTCTGTTTCTACCTGTATGAGGTATGGTAATTAGTTACATGATGGACAATGAGGAGAAAACAAAATATGCAATGGCCATAAATGGTAAGAAAAGCACAATTTTTTTCCTTGTCCCTTTATTAAGATGTTCCAACTGCTGCAATACATGGAGTAAGACCCAGTATGGCAGCCTTATCCAATTCCCAAGCCTGATTCATCTCTAAAATACGTCATGTTGTACAGAGATTAAAAAAAAATAAAATAATACAGCTGTGACTTCATAATTAAAAGCTATGTAAGAATGAGTGTACAGAGAGCACTCAATTATGCTTATACAAACAACCTTAATTATGTCATTTCTTGATACTGGAGTGTTTGACTTACAAACACTAATTTTTGTGTCAGAAGACATACAAGTACAACCTTATGATCTAATACATTAATTATAACCTTTGTATGTTGTTTGGTATAAATAAGGAAGATGTCAAGAATGCCACACAAATAGAAATTACATCAATTTTGACAGTTAAAACGAGTTTTTAAGAAGTGTATTGTTGGTCACGTTCACGTAGTACTGTAGGGATTACAGTAAAGCAATACCAGAGTTCAACCAGGTGGCGGTGAGAGGAGAGCTCTTTCACCTCATCACACAAGTAGGGTTGCATGTAACGAGAACCAGAAATACTATCACAAGGGTGGGACCATGCGCAGCAAGGACTCAATTGGACCCTGAACCCCAGCTGGTCCCCCTCGTCCAGCACTCCACGTCCAGCCTTCAATTTGACTTCCAGTAACTGACAGCAGGAGCATCTCTACATTCCCACCGTTGTGACGGGACCAGTGCAACCTCAGACATCTATTTTTTTTCAGAAAAAAAAATGTCTACTCAATTTTAAACTAAGAATAGGAGTTTGATAGTTTTTATTCAACTTCTATTCTGTTTGTGGGATCCTTAGACATCATTAGGGGAAGTTTTTAAATGCCTTGAAGCAAAAGTGTTGTTCCTTCATTACATAACCATTTGCAGCACTCTTTCTACTGAGGGTATTTATTCAGAGGTTGCAGCCGAATTCCGTAGAAGTAAATGGGAGTTTTCTCTGAAGAAGAAAGTAAAAATGCTAAACAGACTGTTAACTTTTGCTGGGGTTTTGGAGCGTTTTTTTGTTTTGTTTTGTTTTGTTTTGTTTTTTGTCCTGAGAGAGTTGAATCTAGTTCTTGTGTCCTTTCTTGATATATTTAAACAAATCATTGAAATATTACATTTTCTCAGAGATGCTTTCTATTATGTTTCCTTTTTGCTTCACTAGTGTACTTCAGATGTGCCTCATTCAAAACAAGAGATTATGATTTTCACATGCTACATTTCCTTAGCCACAGGCAAAAATAAATATTACCACTCCTAAAACCTTAAAGTCCTACTTATACTGAATATGGCACTCACCAGTAAGCAGAACAACACACAGACTAATTAAATATTATTAAAGAGTAATACTGAAAAGTAAGTCTGAGAAGTGGGTTTTCTAGGCATTCATTCACAGATCCACATAACAATCAAGGTTAAGAATAAGTGATTGCATTTCCTCTTTGTTACAAAGCCATAAATATTCCAGCTTGCTGTGAAAGAGTTTCAGCAAATACAACAGTGCCTCGAGGATGGAAAACACTTAGTGTGATGTCATTGTCCACAAGATAAATATGATTGTAATGGTGTATAATGCAAACAGATTTGCATGGATGTTCACTAATAATGCTTGAGCATCCTCAGTCTCTTTGGAGATGATTACCTCATTGTTCTAAATATTTCTGAGTCTTTGAAGGCCTGTTTCAGTGTAACAAGGAGAAGCTGTAAAACTGTCATGACCTCCACCCCATAACTAAAATAAAAAAGGATGGAGAGCTAGCAAGCCTTTTGTGAGAAGGTATATTAACAATTGAAATATGTCCTCTCCATTGTATCAGCAGGTGATGATGGAAAAAGTGATGTACATACACATAGAATAAAAGCTGTTCTCAAAACTTTTTTTAAAAAAAGGGCTTTATTTTATTTGGTAGAAAGCTATAAATTATACATATAAAAAATAAACTATACCCATCTGAACTATTATTAGGCAGTAATTTTAACCTATCCATTCCTAAAGCCATGCTGGGTAGGATCCTCTCTCATGGTTTACAACCTCAGAGGCATCCCTTTGGTACTTACCTAAAGGTTATTTTTTATTCTCTATTTAGAACAGATTTAGACCCAGAGCTTTTTTCAAGGTTCTACGTGCTATTCCAAACACACACACAAAAAAATACACAGGAGTATCATTACCGATTTGAAGTTGCAGTTATTCCCTGATGAAAAATATAAATAATAAAGGAGATTCAGTGCAAGACGTATGAATATGACTGAGAGATATAAAACTTAAAATGATCCTTTGTGTAAGATACCTATAACTGTAAAACATTTGGAGCTTCTATATGATCTAGAACACAAGGATAAGTTTTATCCACCCAAACACTTGCGTATCTTTCCATTAGACATACATTTCTAGGCCCTAGATCTTGCAGAAGATTTGATCATGTGGGGAAGTTTTGATGTACCATTTGCAGCTGAAAAGGAGAGAAGAGTGATATCCCATGTGTGGATGAGACATTTTGTAGCTAATGAGTCAATCTGTAACTATTTCTTAAATATTTTTTCCAGGAACTTTTCCTTTTCTCCCTCTCTTTACCAATACTGTTGGTCTGAAAACCACCTGAAGTGGAAGGAATATACTCTACTAGATGTTTCAAATCACTGGAACAAATAATACCTCTAAAGACCAAATAAAAATTATGACTGCACCCAAATATAAGCCTGAATCATATGTTTAGTTGGGAAGTACTCTAGATGACACAGCTCTAGAGTTCAGAAAAAAATCAGTTCCAGGTTTACATACTAATTTTGGCCCTTTTTTATCCCACCTAGCACTTACTAGTGTTTGTAACCTGTTTTTATACCCATTAAAACACCGTCCTGAAACACCTGCTTCTCCTTTCTCCCTACCTTCCTACCTGCTTTCACTTCCCCAGGCACGATAAACATCTCAACATTTACAAGTTTAGGAATGCAGGTGGCTGAAACAAGCAGGTGGAAAGAAGGTGGATTGCGTTGAGTATAATTGTAACAACAGTTGTCAGGTTTGCTATATACATTAGTTAATTTAGCAATACAGAAATAATTTTAACCAAATAAAAGATAATATATGCAAGTTACTTTATTTACTGTGTTTTTTGCAAAGCTTTTAATCAGATTTGGCCTCTCTGAAGGAAAACCCAGGAAATGTAATGTTTTACCTGTACAAAATTACTTTACACCCTCAGGAAATGAAATTCTGATCCTTTTGAAGTCAGCATCTTTGAAGAAACAGAATACATGGGGATGAAATCTCCCAGTCTCTAGAATTTTTATATACTTTGGGGATGATTTGAGGGAAAATACAGGTAGAGAAGTATCTTTACCTCATTTATTCTTCCATAATTGTGTTTCACTTTCTGTATCATAACATATCAGTAGCTCACAAAGGCTCAGAGAATTACATCTTTAATATACAGTTGGGCTAAACTCCCTTCAGTCAGGAACAGCAATTAAATATCTAAGTCAAGAAGAGAATGTGATCTCTTTCACACTTGGGATTCTCCTTGACGGCAGTTCACACCACTGTGAGCACAACTCAGCATGGACAGCAATATTTAGACTTAGTTGAAGCTTACTACTTTAACAAAATAAATTGTTACCACTACTAACCTTTTATCCCACAAACTGCCAACCTTTTGGGAATGCCTTAGAAAGTAGGAGTTTTGGTTTGAGATGTTAGTTTGAGCACATTACCAACTGCCAGTCTATGTGTTATGATGTACAGTGTCAATATGTCATTCTTAGGAAAGTATGTTTTTCCTATGGACTTTGACTGTGTATAAGTGTGCAATCATAACATTCCTACCAGAAACACCAAGTTAAAAAACACTGCTGTAGCCAAATGACAATCTTTTCTGTCACCCCAATTTACATTTTCTTTTAATTAAAGACACCTTGTTTTACAATTATTATGCTGTGATATAAGACCCCTGAAAGGAATCCAGTTAAGTAACAGCAAGCTAAATGGTACAAAAAATATTTGTTTACCCTCAAGATAGTAGTCTTTTGTATTGATGAAATCACTAATTAATGTCTCTCATAAAGGTGAAATTTGCACTGCAGAATTACCGAAGGGGCAAAAGGAGGTCATTTTCTTTTACCTTTACCGTTGTGGGCATCAGAAGGTATATGCTCATTACTGTCTAGATTACAAGTTTCTAACATACCCAGAATACTCCAAATTTCCATTATAATACCCTGATTTTAATAACACTATGAGGATGACTAAAACAGAACGCAGCCTTTCAACCGGGGTATGTTAACAAACTGCTGATGACTTATATGTAGCCAATAGTAAATTACCTTTGAAAGGTCCCCAGCCTCCAAATAGAAGCAGATAACAAACACGTTCCATGTAACCCAAAGGACCAGCCAGACAGCATACTGCAGGGAGGAAGAGAGAAACAGCACATTAATATCATTATCAACTGAGTTAAACTCAGTTCATTAGACTATTAATTCCATCCAAAACAAGAATATAAATATGGTATATATAAATAAAAATGTTAAATATGAAAGAGAATCCAGAATAAATTCTTCCATTTCACAGACATTCTAAAGTGACCTAGTGAGTACTCAGTCACACCAGAATATCTGTATCTGGGAAAACAGCTGATAGATCTGACATTTGAATTTGAGACTAATCTGGGTCTCTTATTGTTCAGATGGGGAATATTGCAATATCAAGAGAGGCATGTAATATCAATTATATGTGAGAAGGGCAGAGCTGTTTATTCAAATGGTTATTCAAATACAACTTACTAAATAAGAAAGTCGAATTGAATTAGGCACTGGATTCTGCAACACTTTGGATTTAGTCTCAAGAAACTAAAACTACATATATAACCTCAAGAAAATGAACCTATATATATAGGTTATTTTGCAGTATTTCTACAAAATATGGAGGGATTTGGTCATGACATCTGCCTCTGTCAATACATTTTGTGGCATTCCAAAGCATGATTCATAATTATTCAACACCCTCAGGAGTAGACTTCATTTTAAATTACCAATTTTTTGTGGTTCAGTTTGGTTGTGGTTTGGTTTACAGTGTATAGGAGAATTATTCATGCTTACTCAATATCTGTACATTGGTGGTTGCCAAACTTCTTATTCACGTATCTGATGTGAGTAATGAAATACATGTTTTCTTTTCTTCTGTCCACTACTTTGCTTCTTTTTTGTATTCATAAGACCTTATGTGCTAGGACTGGAAACTACATTTCCCTGACGTAATGCTGGAGGATCTTCTATAATAAAGCTTGACCTGCTGTTGCCAATCTTATCTAATGTCACGGCTTGAGAACTTCCCTTGACAAATTATTCCATCATCTAATAAGCCTTAGAATCTACAAATGTTTTTTTAATGGCTGTTGCAGCTATCCTCTATTTGTTCACAATTCAGTTCTTCATGTTTGCTAATTTCATTCCACAGACCCGCCGCACTGCATATGTGTGAAATACGACAGACACAACACTACTCTCTACCTGTTATAGCTGAGGACTATTTCTTCCTTTTATATCATCAGCCCATTTCTCTCACGTATTTACAGACTTTCTCTTCTCCAAACAGTTTTCTCCAAACTGTACTGATTAAATTTTGTTAAACTACTTTTCCAAATCAGGAAACACTGTTTTCTGCACACCTCCATATTATGTTCACCGTCTGAATAAGCAGACAATATTTTCAACTGTACACTATCCATCCCTTACGAAAAATACATGACAACCATTGTTTGTCATGAATGAATATCTCATTCTCTTAAATTCAGTAACAAGCTGTGTAGGATTCTTCTGGCATTTCTCTTGCAAGTGCTGTTTTGCTCAGACTGTCTATCATTTAACATGCCATTTTCTACTTAATCTTCTAGATAGTGTGAAAGTAATACAATTCTGTCCTTTCTCAGGGGATCTAAAGTGAGACTATATCCAACAAAAGTAAAATTTAGGCCTGTTCTGGTTTCTTATTTTTATAGATAGCCAGTTGCCAACCAGCCTAGCTATTAAGTAGACCATGTACAGATTTTAAAGAATAATGATAAATATTGTTTTGATCTAATGGAAGCTAACACAACTTTAAAGGTTCAAATTGCTTTACACAGAAATAATTTTAGGTAATTTAAAGCATAAAGATTTCATATACTTCATAGGACAGCTCTTTCTGGTCCATTGATCTGGTCATAGTTCATAGATTCATTTAGGTCAGGATGGACCTTCTGGAGGTCACCTGGTCCAGTCTCTGCTCAGAGTACAACCAGCATAGATAAAGTTGTGAAGGGATTTGTCCAGCTGAGGTCTGAATATTTCCAGGGATGAAGATTTTATGGCTTCTTTGATGCACAACTACTCTTTGAGAGTAGGCTGCTCATAAAAAAATCATAAAACTGTGGAACATCAGAACTTAATTCAGACGCATGCTCTTAAAACACTTTTTTTTTTTTTTTTAACTAACTCCAAAACATTAAATATATGGAACATTTCATTTTCCTGTAGCTTGCTTATGCTACACCTGGCTTCATATGTAACATGGAGCATTATAACTACCAGAACAAGAGAAGGAAACATTAATTTAGATTCAATAATCTTAACTGGGCATTTTTTCTAACTCTGCAGCATTTTAACTTGCTGGATTTTGCCAGTTATTTTAATACTTTAATATTATATAAAGTATACATATATTCTAATGGAGTTAATACAAGTATTTCATATGACACATGAAGATAATTGGATTTCTTATAGTGAAAAATATAAATATTTCATTTAGAGTGGTTTCCCAAAGAAATGAGACTTAAGCAGTAATATCCAGGTGTGATGTCTGTTCCTTTGAAATAATTTTTGTGCTCCTGAAAAATTTTAAGCTAACTGGACAAAAGTCTAGAAGATTCAAAGATATTTTTTTCACAAAAGTTTCAGGAAAATAGGACTACAAATGGGAAGAGATACTCTAGTAAGTCCTCATACAGAGAAAGACTTACAAGATCATATTTTACCAGTAAACATGAAAAGGGAAAAAATGTGGGAGAGCCATGGGAAACTAGGTTTCATTAGATCAGCTGTTTAAGGCACAACTTGTCACACTGCATGCAAGCAACAGCTGATTAAATATCTCCCTGTGCACAGCACATGCAGCAGAACACTCCAAGGCACTTTGGAGCTGCTTGTCCCAGCAGAGAGCCTTATGCTTACCTGAAGAAGTGAAACTTCTTTTTTCTATCTATCTTTCTGGTCTATCACCAAAAAAAATGACTTAGATACATTCTTTTAACAAGCATCTGCCGTTATTGGACTACAGCTAAGGTTTAAAAATGTCTTTTAAAAGTATGTTTTAAACGGCTTCCTTTTGAAATACTATACTGAGTGTTTGCTGCCTGAATTCTGCGGATAAACACTGAATATAATTGTCTTGAAATACAAGGATGCTTCTGCTTCCCACTGTTTCTTGTTTCAGATGCTTCAGATCTAGCACATCTCTTATCTCTGGATCACATGCAGCCATAAAGGCCTCTTGTCGTCTATGTGCTTCAGCAAATTGTTGCGGAAATTCAGCTCTGAAGGTCTGTGACAATGAACAAATCCTGCTGCTACTCTCTATTATATGTATCTAATTAGAAACACATTTTATAAGAGTTCTTCAAAGGGCTATAACTGTATTTTTTTCTCACATGTGGGAGTTCAAGACAGCTGCATTATATGACAGAAGCCACCACAATGCTACAGCAGTCTCATATCAACAAGACAAGAACCTTGATGCACACACACTTGGCCAAGCAGGAGATACTGACAGAAGGCACAGCAATGACAACACAGCTTATTATATTTATGGAAATACACTCTGTAAAGAGGTATAACTGGGAGGCTAACACTGAAGATTTAAATACTTACTATTTTGCAAAGTTGTAGTCAATCACTAAAAGTGGTTGGTTGGTTGTTTTTTGTTGGTTTTTTTTGTTTGGTTTTTTTTTGTGTGTGTGTGTGTGTGAAATAAATTATATAAATACAGCTCTTATATGGTAGAATACACTTACTATTCTTCAAGTAAACATGAATTTATAGCACTCTACAAAGAATTATGAGAATTACCAACTTTGTATTTTTATGGATAATGTATAGTTACAGGTTTGAAAAATTGCTATGAATCATCCCAAATTAATATAAGATGTCTTTTTTCTTGGGGAATGGGAAACTGAATTATTAAAATACATGTAACTATTAAGAATCCATACATCCCTCTTCACACTTCTTTCAATGTTGTCTAAGTCACATTACCTCCATTTTACTAGCAGGGAAACTGAAGGTGAAGGAAATAAATGGCTAGACTTAATACCACAGCCCAACAGAAAATGATCACAAGGGCACAAGAACCAAAGGTCCAGGTAGCCCATTGCTGCCTTTGATATAAACCTCTTCACCAGAACTCACATCTAATACTTATCACTTTGCCTGAAGGAGACATATGTCACATACTTTCTGAGTATAAATAGTAAGCAACTCTGATAGACATAAGCATTTTAAGTTTAAGCATTTTTTTTCACAGAACTTTACATGGCATTTCTCTTGCTCCCAAATTCTTTTTGGGTATGTGAGCCAATTACAGTCATATTTGACTGAGTGATACAAGGGCTCTGGAACCACAAGATACTACCTTGTGCAATTCAAACCAACTGAGCTGTTGTTGTGATTAGTGATTTGCTACTTATCGTCTTTTTCAAAATGTACAAAATTTTAGTTCCGGCTTTTTTCAAATCTGAAAATATTATGCCCCAAGACCCTTGCATGCTCCATGCAGGAAAAAGAAACTAAATGCATTTCTAAAATGATAATTAGCATAGTTTGGCATAGTAATTAAAAATGTGATTCTTCATGCTATCTGGGCAACAGTACCTGAGTTGTTCAAAGATAACTGGAGCCCAGCACGTCTGGAATGAGCAAGTCTTTCCAATAACACAGAAACAACTGTCCACAGTTATAATTATGTTTGCTTAATTCGTCTGTCTATGGAGATACATCATTTAGAAATACAACTTTCAAACTTATCTTTTGCTCATTAAATCTGATAATGTGTGGAATTCTGAATACTTGACACCAACATACTATCTAAACCTACTGATAACATTCAGCTAATCTTTGAGGTCCCTACAGCTCTGCTTACCTTTAGAAAGCCCCTCTGAAATAGAAACAACTATTTGGTGGTCAGTTGTTCCTGAACAGTGAAGACCATGGTTTAGTTGTCATAACCTTCTGTGGTGTTGCCTGTTAGAACTTCTTCAGCATCAAACAGTAAAAGTTCTTCCACACTTCCACCATCCTGGAACTACTAAAAGATCTAACCTAGATTTCCCTGGGATAAGTCCATCTGAAGTGGCAAAGACAGCAATCTACAGGGT